GAGCTCTGTATTTATCTCTTGAAACTGCTTGCTATTGCCATGAGTAGCTATAAATTAAACTAATAATGCCACACTGAACACTATAACCCACACCGTATACAGTTTAGCAACATATGTCAATCAGTAATCAAGGTTATTTTTAGTAAATAAGAATTCCTGACAAACAATTTTGCATCAGCCCACTCTCTGTCAGTTTTTGCCTTTAAAAATCTACTTGTAACTGCTGCTAGATTCCAGGCAACTTGAATCTTTGCTCCCAGTTTACAATCTTCAAACTTGGCCCAATGAACTGTCTCCTTATATTCATGTTTCCTCAGCGTTTTCCTATTAAGGAGGAAATTAAGGACATATTATTTAGAATGTGCCAGAGCAGCCTTTATGAGGGAATCTCTCCTTTGGTTGTACTTTTCTTGCTGTAACACCCAGGAATGCAGAGCCAGGTTGACCCCACCTAGAATCCACACATAAGATCTGGCCTCTGCCTGGGATTTACAAGACAGTACCAGAATTTGGATTAAGAATGTACAGAAAACCAACAGGAGGCATTCTCTGCATTGTGAGATGTCAACATAGACATCTTAAAGCTACCTCCTTTGATAGTGTGGCTATTTGAGTTTTTCAGATCTCATTCAGTGACCTGTTACTGTTATGTGAGAGGTGCCAGGTATAAATAGAATCTGATGGCAGAATCTATAAATGTAAACAAAGCATCTTAGGATTGAGAGATTAAGGCCACAGAGCATCTTAGGAGTGAGAGATCAAGGTCACAAAGTATCCAGAGCCATCACTACAACTATAACTACCTGTAAAAAATGTGATACTGGAGTAGAGTATTCTTGTCCTTCCTCTTACCCAAAGACTACCTGATCAGGACAGGTAAGCCAGGTTGTGGAGCTCCACCAGGGCCGTTCTGTTTTCTATTTAGCCTGAGTCTCTACTGCCTGGCTTACCATTGGGCCATCAGCCCAGGATCACTGAGAACCCTCTCACAATCACCTGGGCATCTTTGAAACATTTGAGGATGTCCAGAGTAAAACTGTGTTAGGCTGACAAGAGTGGTTAATTCTGCTTTTGTCTCAGTGTAAGAGAAATGAGTCATGCCAAAAAATGTGGGCTTCATTTGGGCCACTTCTTTATATTGCTGTGACTTCTGAGGTCATCATTTGAATGGATGTTTATGGATGGAAGAGTTGTTATTATTATTTCTGTTTCTTTTACCTTGTTAAGAATACATGCTTATCTTCTAACGAAATTACCCTAGAAAACCCTAAGAGATTTGTTTAAATTGCTTGTTAGTATATGTTATACAATTGACAGGGCAGTGGCTAAAAAAGATTAAATTACACAAACTGTGGGATTTAAGTTTCTCGTAGGTAAGCTTGGGAAAAACAGAACAGGAAATACCCCAGTGGCATAGAGAGCAGAATTCTACATAGTGTCCTCTCTCTGCCCCAATTCTGTTCAGAATCACCCTTTTTGGAGGCCTTAAGCCAAGGTCTGGCTTCACCTTGGAGTCTAGCCTCATAGAACTGATAAAAAGAGATAAGTGTTGGGTGATGAATTCTGCTGCCTTTCTAGAGCTGTTGCTGAGAATTTCCTGAAATCTAAAAGCAGATAAATGGGAAAAATAATGTTTTAGGGCCTTAATTTCTTAATTTTGTATTGAAATCAGTGCCTGCGGAGACATGCCATTTAGCAACTTATTCCTTATTCTATTCCTGAAGACCCAGTAGTTGCTCCACAAGCCACAAACAAGTAAATATAAACACAATAAAAATTCCTCCAGACTACATTAAACTCTTTTCCTTATTCCTCTCATCTGTCTATATGTAGCTTTTATTCTGTACATTTTTCAAAAAAAAAAAATGACAAAGGAGAAATAAAAATGCTGGGCCCTTTATCTAAATTCTGGCAATTATTAAACAACTCCCAGGGTGTTACGAGGATTAAATCATGTAATGTTTTATTCCCAGCAGTGCTCTGTAACATACTCTTGAGGACATAGTATCTGTTTAATAAACATTGCATTAGTGTATGTGTAAATGTTTTTTTCCAAATGCAGACTTCTTTGGACATTACTGGCCTCTGTTTCCTCTGTAAAGAGCCAGCAAAGAATATACTTTAGGATGAAGATTGGTTGTCTTTATTTGTACCAGAAGTATTTATGTTGTGACAAATGTGCTGAGTGTAAGGGACTCTGTGATGTGCCTGCTTTCTCTAGCTAGTGCTAATAATGAGCGCAGGGGGAGCAACATCAACATCTATAGAGGACTTGTTTAAAATACCCATTCATGGACCCTTTTCAAACCTGCAGAATCACATTATATAGAGTGGGGCCAAAATCACCAAGTGATTTATAAGCTCATCAATGCTTGAGAGATAATACTTAGCTAAGTGTTTATCAGCCCAGGCTTCTAATTAAGATTACGTAGCCAGTTTGCAGAAATCTCTATTTGTGCCCTCCCCACAGGTTCTGTTCTATTGTTCTGGAAGCATCCATGTTGCTTGAAGGGCCTCATGTGACTCTAAGGTGAGGCCAGAATCAAGTATGAGGGGTTCAAGATACATTTGTGAGTGTTAAGTTCTGTCTTTGCACTAAAGGGCCTGTTCTCTTTGGGTTTGGTAGGGACAAGGCAGAGTGGCCCATATTTCCATTACTTTAGCAAAAATTGCTGGTGTCTGGTAGGAGAGGGCACCTGAGGACAGGAAAGGAGAAACTTCTCTCTTTATCTCCATAGAGCAGCTTATTTTTCTTGAATCTCTTCTGTTATAAAGGACGGAAATGGGTGGGCTTTTTCTGCAGGTCTTGGACCTTTTGCCTGTGGGTGTGATGGTAGCAGGTAAACAGGTGGTGCTGACACCTTTAAAGGCATATTCTCCAGATTCAGGTGTAATTTCTCCAGAGAATCTCATCTGAGAAGGAATCCTAGAGCAGGAGGAGAAAGATGAAAAAATGGCTATTTTTCAGCTAAAAATGCCTCAGATTAACAGCTGTGTCCACTGTGCCTCCTGGAATGCCATGTGTTTAGTACTTACAAACCTTTACTTCTCTACTTGTGCTTTTCCTCCCTAATGAGTTTGTTTTAACTACTTTAAAAATTTTTTCATTATAGTCAAGTGTCTGAAAAATTTTTATTTACTTATTTTTGAGACGGAATCTCGCTCTGTCACCCAGGCTGGAGTGCAGTGGCGTGATCTTGGCTCACTGCAATCTCCGCCTCCCGGGTTCAAGCAATTTTCCTGCCTCAGCCTCCTAACTAGCTGGGATTACAGGCGCATGCCACCATGTCTGGCTAATTTTTGTATTTTAGTAGAGACGGGGTTTCACCATGTTGGCCAGGCTGGTCTCGAATTCCTGACCTTGTGATCCGCCCGCCTTGGCTTCCCGAAAGTGCTGAGATTACAGGTGTGAGGCACTGCGCCCGGGCAAATATTTCTTTCCTATATACTGGAGCCTTCTCTACACCATGGCTTCTTAAATGCCATGTAGAATTCTCACCATGGATTTATGATCTGCAATGTTAAAAATGTTCCCTTTGTGGCTGTTTAATATCGGGGGATGAATATACTCAAGATTCCTATTGGGGAAAAGCTGGGGTTCTTAGTCAAGGAGAACACGTAATATTGAGGTTTCATCTATCTTCTCCATTAGCTCTTTGCAGAACAGGATTAAGAAAATGCTTTTTGAAACAGGATGACATTTACTACCCAGAAAGTTCTGAAGAAAATTATTAGGAGATATGTGTTCTCTAGGGTGCTAAAGAAAGACTATTTAAAATTTCTATTAAAAATTACAGATCATGGGACATATCTGTATCTCGAACTTGGCATAAAATGGATGTTTCTTTATGGTTAAATTCAGGCTATAATTTACTTTTTGGGGAAGTAATATCTCAGCAGTGAAGCAGTGATGCTGTGTCCTTCTGTTCATCAGCACATTATAAAAATTTGTCCTAGTTCAGTTAATATTAATGATTCACTTGGTTAAAGAGCTCTCTGACAGATTTTTTCACTGTAGGGTTAGTAATTTTCCTCTTGATTATTAAGTGTTTTCTTTTTTTTTCTTTTTTTTTTTTTTTTGAGACGGAGTTTCACTCTTGTTCCCCAAGCTAGAGTGCAATGGCACAATCTCGGCTCACTGCAACCTTCGCCTCCTGGGTTCAAGCGATTCTTCTGCCTCAGCCTTCCGAGTAGCTGGGATTACAGGCACGTGCCACCATGCCCGGTTAATTTTTTGTATTTTTAGTAGAAACGGGGTTTCACCATGTTAGCCAGGCTGGTCTCCGAACTCCTGACCTCAGGTGATCTGCCCACCTCGGCCTCCCAAACTGCTGGGATTACAGGTGTGAGCCACTGGGCCCAGCCAATTATTAAGTATCTTTATGCAGCTGATGTGGATAAACCATTACAGTTAATCTGGCAGCTGCCCTTCTTTATTAGGTTTTCTTAGCATATATCTGTCTTTGGAAAATGAAGGCTCTCATCTTTGTTTATAGGTCAGAAAAACTGGGAAAACCCACACTCCTCCCACTTACTGGATGCTTGACAGAATAATCTTCTTGGGCAAAAATCATTGGCATTATTGGTGATCTTCTTAGAAATTAAGAAATTCAGACTTTATTCCAGATGTTCTGAAAAAATATATGCATAACAAGATCTTCAGTTTATCATACACATTAAAATTTGAGAGGTCCCTTCTAACTCCACATCTTTTCCATCTGAAACATATACACTCAAAAATGTATGTTTGTGTTCATGCCCTTAATTTTATACTTTATCATCCAGAAAAGTGTCATATATATACTCTCCTGTCATTCCCTTTTCTCAGTTATATTAGAAAATATTTCTATATTGAAAATTATTTTATTGGATAATTTCAATCACTCCTGTAAGTCAGAACTTGTTCTCTTTACTCTTTTGTTTCACCTTAAGTCAAATAAAAAATTCTGCCCATGGCCACTTAGTAAACATATGTGTGTGTGTGTGTGTGTGTTTTTCAGGGACCACTGACATTTAGGGATGTGAAAATAGAATTCTCTCTGGAGGAATGGCAATGCCTGGACACTGCACAGCGGAATTTGTATAGAGATGTGATGTTAGAGAACTACAGAAACCTGGTCTTCCTTGGTGAGGATAACTTCAATACATAACTCCTAATGTACTCTAAAGATTTCATTTCTCTTCTTTGTAGAATGTCTTTTGGTAATTTATGCTTTGCATAAATGAGTTTCAGATCCCAGTTTTCAAGAAAACAGATTTGTCAGTGTAGAAAAGAACTTCTTCAAGATGTTTCATTTTGACCTGAACTCTCCACATTCCTGAGCTGATCTTTATCCTTTACTCTAAATTAGTGGTAATTCCAGAAATTTATTGGCATAAAATATTGTTGCTACCACCAATTTTTCATTTAGTAAATTTAGTAGTACTGGGCAGTATTAAGTAAAATTAAAGATCTATGAATGTAGGCCAGGCATGGTGGCTCATGCTTGTATTCCCAGCGCTTTGGGAGGCCGAGGTGGGTGGATTACCTAAGGTCAGGAGTTTGAGAGCAGCCTGGCCAACATGGTGAAACCCTTTCTCTACTAAAAATACAAAACTTAGCCAGGCGTGGTGGTGGGCGCCTGTAATCCAACTACTCAGGAGGCTGAGGCAGGAGAATTGCCTGAACCCAAGAGGTGGAGGTTGCAGTGAGCTGAGATCATGCCATTGCACTCTAGCCTGGGTGACAGTGAGGCTTTGTCTCAAAACAAACAAAAAAATCTACAAATTTAAAATATTTTAAAAATATTTAGATATTTGTCATAAATTAGTATTTGGGGATTAATTTACTAGATTAATCTATTACATCTTCTTTACTGAGCATGTTACTATGTTAGTAATTGGAGAATGTGAGCAAGATTTATGTTACTTATTTTTAATAAAACAGGTATTGCTGTCTCTAAGCCAGACCTGATCACCTGGCTGGAGCAAGGAAAAGAACCCTGGAATATGAAGAGACGTGAGATGGTAGACAAAACCCCAGGTAGGTGACAGTTAATACAACAGATGACACAAATGAGAGGTCCAAAAGTCAAGGAGAAGGCCAATCTTTTTTCGAGACGGAGTTTTGCCCTTGTTGTCCAGGCTGGAGTGCAAGGGTGCTATCTCGGCTTACTGCAACCTCTGCCTCCCAGGTTCAAGCGATTCTCCTGCCTCAGCCTCCTAAGCACTGGGATTACAGGCACCCACCACCATGCCTGGCTAATTTTGTATTTTTAGTAGAGATGGAGTTTCTCCATGTTGGTCAGGCTGGTCTCAAACTCTCGACCTCAGGTGATCTGCCCGCCTCAGCCTCTCCAAAGTGCTGGTATTTACAGGTGTGAGCCACTGCACCCAGCCTCAGTCTTTAAAATGTAATTTGGGAAGTTGTTTCCAAAAAAGAAAGTTTTTGGGAAGCCTCAAACTTTTGTTTTGCTCTCACATAGGGGCATCTTCTGTCTAATGCTTTTAAATTTTCTAAGGTGATCTTCCTTCAAGTTTACAGTGAAAGCCAAAGTCCTTTTCATGGCAATAAGAGACTACACAATCTGACTGCTTTTCCGTTGCTTTTGAGGACACACAAATAACTGCATAATTTTGAGAAACTCTGTTAAACTACTTTTCTTTTTGTTTTTTTGAGATAGAGCCTCGCTCTGTTGCCAGGCTAGAGTGCAGTGGTGCAAGCTTGGCTCACAGCAGCCTCTGCCTCCTGGGTTCAAGCAGTTCTCCTGCCTCAGTCTCCCAAGTAGCTGGGACTACAGGCGTGCACCACCATGCCCAGCTAATTTTTGTATTTTTAGTAGAGATGGGGTTTCTTCACGTTGGCCAGGATGGTCTTGATCTCTTGACCATCGAGATCTCGTGATCTGCCCGCCTCGGCCTCCCAGAGTGCTGAGATTACAGGTGTGAGCCACTGTGCCAAGCCCAGAAATATATTATTAATATTATTATTATTTTTCTGAGACGGAGTCTCACTCTGTTGCCCAGGCTGGAGTGCAGTGGTGCAATCTCGGCTCACTGCAAGCTCCGCCTCCTGAGTTCATGCCATTCTCCTGCCTCAGTCTCCTGAGTAACTGGGACTATAGGCGTGAACCGCCACACCCGGCTAATTTTTTGTATTTTTAGTAGAGATGGGGTTTCACCATGTTAGCCAGGATGGACAAGTGTATTGTTTTAATGCTATTACAAATAAGATTGTTTTTTCCTCTGTTATATCAGGTAGCTTATTTTAAGTGTGTGGAACCATAGCTTGTATGTTAATTTTATATTGTGCTAATTTACTGAGTATTAGTTGAGACAGGTATAAATGTTTATGATTTTCTCTGTATAAGATTGTGTGATCTATAAACAGCAACTTTTTACTTATCTGTCTTCAATTTCAATGGCTTTTTAGAACTTTTTAAATTCTTTTGCCACATACTTCCAGTGCTATGTTAAAATAGAAGCATTGACATTGGCACAATATAGTTTTGCATTGGTGTTTGTAAATTTGAAGGAGCAAACACCTCTTCAAGTTTTGATAAACTGGTTTTAGAAGGTAAAAATCTTTTGTTGGGTTCCCAGGGTGATGGGATGCCCTCTGGATTTGCAGTAGAGAGGGGTGTAGCTTGGTCACAAGGCTGCTGGGTCTACACTAGGGTCCACCTTTACTGGCTTGTTACAAGGGGCTTGGGTAATTGTAATTTCCATTTTATTTTTGAACAGACTGAATAGCCTCCAGGACTTTGCTCTGTAGGGCAGACAGTAGGGCAGGTTTCTGTAGTCCGGTCTGCATATAGTGGACCTTATATCAGGATGTGGATGAGTATGACTTTCACTGAGTACCAGAGAGGATTTCCCCAGGCCACTGTGTAAGTTTCTGTGTAGATATAACTGGCCATAAACTGTGGCTCAGAGAGTTCGAACTGAGTCATTAAACTGCTTCAGAGACCACAGTAAAGGCCAAGGTCTGCAGGCCCTCCTGCCTGCATGGCTATAAATGGTTGTCTTTCTTCAGGCCGCTGGAAGGGCAGGACCTTTTCCAGACTGTGGCTGGGAGAAGTTTGTGATGGTTACAGAGTGAGTTCAGAATTCTTAGTGGGACCAAGTTTGGTGGGCCATTTTCTGGTCTGTAGCCAAGAACAGGAGTCCTTTAGTTTGCCTCCTGAATGAGGGCCTGCCTTCTGAAAACAACACTCCTCAGTCTTGGGTTTAGCATTTCACAACTCCCTCCCTGCATCTCAAAGCTCTCTTAAAGGCACTTATTTTTGAGATGAGGTCTTGCTTCATAACCCATTCTGTTCTTGAAATCCTGGCCTGAATCAGTTCTCCAACCTTAATGTATAATGTAGCTTTCATTACAGGTGTGAGCCGTGATGCCTGACTCTCTCAAAAGGCATTTTTATGAGGGATGGCTGATGCATTTGCTTGCTATTGGAGGATAACAAAATAAGGCACCTTTTATTGTCCTATCTTCTGATGTCACTCTTCCTATACATTTTTACTTTGTATTTTCTATTTCAAATTTGTCTGTAGCTTTAGAATCAGACCTTTAGGACAATATGCTAGAATTTACATGTTATGTCTGAAGTAAATTAGATAATTAGTAGGCACTCCATAATTACTAAAATAGTTACTTATAAAATTAAGTTTGCTGCAGGCAAAAAGGAATAGTATTTTCATTCACCCACTTTCTTTAGCCTATATCTAAGTAATGACATAATGTATCCCCCAAATATTTGTTTTATGTATCAAAGGCACTAACTATATTCAACAAAATAAAAATTTTTTCTTTATTTGGCAAACGTAAAGCTCTTCTTTGCTTCTAAAGTTGGATTGCAGCGGTTTCACCTTGTGTAAGAATAGCATATATTTAAAACATAAAAATTATCTCAATTTTTAAAAATGCTTAGTTATTAAAAGTTTTTTATTAGAATCCTCTATGTATGATTATACTGCATTTTCTCTGAAATTTTACTGCCATACATACATGCCTTCCATGAGTACACAGTTACAGTCAAATATTGCAGTTATCTAGACAAATTCTTTTTAATGGTACATCAATATTGTAAACCAGATTTTATAAGTAAACATTTCTCTTAATGTTTTACAGTTCCATATTACTGTTTATTGTTTAGGTTTCTTATCGGTTTATTTTGTTTCTTGTTTTTACAGTTTTAGCAATTTGCATTACTGTTTGTACACTTTAAGTGAATGTTGAGTTTAACTAAGAAATAAGTCAGCCATATGTCCATCATAGTCTGATTATATATGTGTGTGTTTTTATCTATAAATATGACCTTAATTTTGGTTACAGCATATCTTGTGTATATTCTTTCTTAGCTGATTTTAAATAGTTGTTTTGTCTAAGTGAGTAGTCCTGGAAATACTCTTCTTTTCACCATGTGTTTAATGATAAATATTATATAATTTCCTTTGGGTAAGAGAGACACTTTTGTAATTTGAAGGTAATTTTTGGAAAGATTTAGAATTGTATTTTTTTTTTAGTTTTTCTTTTAAAAAGTAATTGTTGTAAAAACACATAACCTAAAAGTTACCATCTTAAATCTACTTAAGTGTACATTTCCTGGCCAGGCATGGTGATGGCTCACATCTGTAATCCTCAGATTTTGGGAGGCCAAGACAGGAGCATCACTTGAGCCCTTTTTTTTTTTTTTTTTTTTTTTTTTTTGAGATGGAGTTTCACTTTTGTTGCCCAGGCTGGAGTACAATGGCGCCATCTTGGCTCACCATAACCTCCGCCTCCTGAGTTCAAGTGATTCTCCTGCCTCAGCCTCTGGAGTAGCTGGGATTACAGGCATGTGCTACCACACCCGGCTAATTTTGTATTTTTAGTAGAGACAGGGTTTCTCCATGTTGGTCAGACTGTTCTCCCCCTCCCAACCTGAGGTGATACACCCGCCTCATCCTCCCAAAGTGCTGGGATTACAGGAGTGAGCCACGCGCCTGGCCAGAACCCAAATGTTTGAGGCCAGCTTGGACAACATATGGAGACCCCTTCTCTACAACTTTTTTTTTAAATAGCCAGACATGGTGGTTGTCACCTGTGGTCCCAGCTACTTGGGAGATTGAGGGGAGAGGACTACTTAAGCCTGGAAGTTTGAGGCTGCAGTAAGCCTTAATTGTGCCACTGAATTCCAGCTTGGGTGACAGAGTGAGACCCTGTCTCCAAAAAGCTGTACATTTCAGGCGTGTTAACTATATTCACATCATTATGCAAGACTTCTAGAAATTTTACATTTTGTAAAACTGAAACTCAGTACCCATTAAGCAATAACTGCCCATTTTACCCTCTCTCCAGCCCTTGACAAACGCCCTTCCACTTACTGTTTTTATGAGTGTGACTGTTTAAGATAGCTCATATAAGTGGAATCACACAGTATCCATCATTTTCCTACTGGCTTATGTCAGGTGACAAAATATTCTCCAAGTTTATCTTAAAATGTGACAAACATTTTCTTTTTTAAGGCTGAATAATATTCCATTGTATCGATATGTTACATTTTTGGATGTGTTTATACATCAAGAAGGCAGTTGGGTTGCTTCATCCTTTTGGCTTTTGTGAATACTGGTACATGGATGTTCAAATATATTTTTAAGATCCTATGTTGCATAGTTTGGATATAGATTCATAAATGGGATTACTGTGTTTAATAATAATTCCATTTTTAATTATTTGAGAAACATATAATATTTTAAAATAATGGCTGCATCCTTGTTTTTCACCAAAAAATAACATGGGTTTTATTTTCATTGCATCATCAACAGATTTGGTGCCTTTTAAAAAATTTTATAGTGGCTGTTCTAACCAGTGTGAGGTGATTTTGTTTTTCATTGTGCTTCTTATGCATTTCTCTACAAATTAGTAATTTTGTCTGTCCTTCAAATGCTTTTTCCCATGTATATATCTCTTGATAAAGATTCAGTTAAAGTTCAATATTACTGAACTTTATATGATAAACTTTATATGGTAAAGTTCAATTTCTTAATTTCTGTTCTTCATACCTTCATTTCTCATCAAGTTATTCAACTTTATTGTTCAGTTGGAAGAGTTGTTTATATATTCTGAATATTAACTCCTATCATATGTGATTTGCCAATATTTTCACTTATTGTGTAGGAGACATTGTCACTCTCTTGAATGTTCTCTTTGATGTGTAAAAAATTTTGAAGTATAGCGTAATTCAGTTTTTCTGTTCTTTTCTTTGTTGCTCATGCATTAATATTGTAAATGGTGCCAAGACCAATATAATGTCTTTCCTCTATATTTTTCCTAAGAGATTTGTTATTTTTTTATGTCTAAGTGTTTTATTTAAAATAATTTTTGTATATGGTTCAAGGAAAGGATCAGACTTTATAAGTGTTAATATCCAATTTCACCATTTTTTGAAGAGATTATCTTTCCTCTATTGTGTGCTCATGGCAACTTTGTGGAAGATCATTCGATCATATACAGAAGGGTTCGTTTCTAGGCTCTCTGTTCTGTTCTTTCATCTCTTTATGTCTTTGTGTCAGTACCACATTGTTTTTGTTATTGTAGCTTTTTATATGTTTTGAAATCAGGAAGTATAATGCCCGTTTGTTCTTTTTCATGGGTGTTTGCATAATTATAGCTTTTAATCAAATTTTAAAAATTTAGACAATATTTATGTTAAAAACTATGTGCTGTGGTATTTTTATAGAGATTATGTTGAATTTCTTTACCATTATAGGTTGTATTGACATCTTCAAAAAATGAAGTTTTTTTGTTTGTTTTTTTTTTTGAGACCTCGTTTCACTCTTGTTGCCCAGGCCAGAATGCAATGGCTGGTGCGATCTCAGCTCACTGCAACCTCTGCCTCCTGGGTTCAAGCAGTTCTCCTGCCTCAGCCTCCTGAGTAGCTGGGATTATAGGCACCCGCCACCATGCCTGGCTAATTTTTGTGTATTTAGTAGAGACGGGGTTTCACCATGTTGGCCAGACTGGTCTCAAACTCCTGACCTCAGGTAATCCACCTGCCTCGGCCTCCCAGAATGCTGGGATTACAGGCATGAGCCACTGTGCCTGGCCCAAAATGAAGTTTTTTGACCCTTGAGCAAAAAAATATGTTGAAGAATGTGTTTTATTTTCACATTTCTTTTATTTCCTAGTTTCTTTCAGTTTTGGTCAGAGAACATACAGTTTATTATTTTGGTCTTAAGTTTATTTATTGTTGTTTCTGAGACAGGCTAGAGTGCAGCGGCATAATTTTGTGTCACTGCAGCCTCAGTCTCCTGGGCTCAAGTGATCCTTTTCCTCAGCCTCCTGAGCAGCTGGGACTACAGACATGCACTACCATGCCTGGCTAATATTTTGATCATTTGTAGGGACAGGTTCTCACTATGTTGTCCAGGCTGGCCTCAAACTTCTGGCTTTAAGTCATCCTCCCACCTTGAAATCCCAAAGTGTTGGGTTATAAGCATGAGCCCCTGCACCCAGCTAGTATTCTTATGTTAATAAGACTTGATGTATGTCCTAACAGAATACACCAGCTGCAAATAAGAATATTGTGTATTCCCTTGCTTTTGACTAGAAAGTTTTGTACATGTCTGTTAAGCCTAGTTGGTCTATGATATTGATTGGATGTTCACGTTCTCCAAACCTCATGCTGCGATGTAATCCTCAATGTTTGATGTGGGCCCTGGAGGAAGGTGCTTGGGTCATGGGGGCAAATTCCTTATGAATGTCTTGGCACTCTCCTCTTAGTAATCAAAAAGTATACACTCCATCAATTCAAGTGAGAGCTCGTTTATTAAAAGAGTAGATAGATATGGTAACTATAGATTCCTGGTAAATTGACCCATTTTACCATTATATAATATCAGTCTTTATCTCTTGCTGGTACTTAAAGCATGTATGTCTGATATAATTATGACTACCTCACCCAATTGTGGTTGCTATTTGCATAGATATAGATCTTTTTCATTCTGTTACTTTCAGCCTATTTGACTTAGTGCCAAAATGGATCTCTTTTAGGCAGTATATTACATGCTTTCTTACTTATTTATTTACATATTTATTTCTTTTTGAGATAGGATTTCCTCTGTCAACCAGGCTGGTTTGCAGTGGTGTGATCATGGCAATGAGCTGCAGCCTCAACCTCCCAAATTCAGATGATCTTTTCATTTCAGCCTGTCAAGTAGCTGGTTACAGGCATGTGCCATCATACCCAGCTGGTTTTTTGTATTTTCTGTAGAGACAGGGTTTTCCCATGTTGCTGCGGCTGGTCTCAAACTCCTGCAATCAAGTGATCAGCACATCTTGACCTCCTAAAGTCCTGGGATTACATTTCTTTTTATTAAGTAGTTTAATTTATATTTAAAATGATTTTTTTAAAGAAATGATGTTACTATTACCAGTTTCATTGTTGTTTCTTGTGTAGATATGTTTTTTCTCATTTCCTGTTTTACTCCTTAAATTTTTGTTTAATCTCATAGTGACATGCTTTATTTTTTGTTTTGCATAGTTTCTATAAATATTATCTTTGTAATCATCTTGAAAAATGAAGATTATAAAAAACATCCTAAAACAGTTTCTAGTTTGTTACTAATATTACAAATTATTTTATATTGTGTTTCTATTAACAGATTTATTCAGATTCGTATTTTGTTTTTTGTATTCTATAGAAGAACTTTAAAGGTTTGATGCTCCATCATTATGATAGTAAAGAATTCTATGTTTGTCTATATTTACATTTAATAGAGAGCTTTTTATTTATATATGGTTTTCTGATGCTGTCCAGCATTATTTTATTTTTCAACATAATGGACTCATTTTAGCATTTCTCTTTTTGTATATGCAGTGTCTCACTATGTTGCTCAGGCCGCTCTTGAACTCCTGGTCTCAAGTGATCTGATTGCCTTGGTCCCCTAAAGCTGTAGGATTACAGGCATGAGCCATGGTGCCTGCTCACCTTGTAGCATTTCTTGTAGGACTGTGCAAGGGATAATGAACACCCTTACCTTTTATTTTGGAAAATCTTTTTTTTTTCTTGTTTTTAAAGTAAAACGATTTCTAACCGAGTGTTATTGGTTAGGAATATTTTTTCTCTTATTACGTCAAAATTTGGAAAGTTCTCAGCCTTTTTTATCTTCAAGTATCCTCAGTACTACTTTTTTTTCTATGTTCTTCTAAGATTTCTTCCATGAATATATTGATTTAGTTGATGGTGTCCAATAATTTTACATTCTGTGTTTTAATTTTGTTTTGGACTTTGACTACATCACACAGTTTCTTTATGACCTGCAAAATTTTTGTTGACAGTTCACTGGTTATCTCATAAGACTGCATATAAATGACACATTACTTCTGTCTTGCAGCTCCCAAGGCTCTCTTCTTGTCTGTAACTTCTGAAATTATGCTTATATATGTGTTATAAGTATCTTTGTGTATATCCTAGTTTGTCTAGCTTCTTCATTTTTTATTTTATGATTTTTAGTTACTGTTTTTTCTTGTGTTTTTTACGTCTACAATTTCTGAAGGGGTGTTGATATTTTGAATATTTTTGTTTTTATCCTCATTTGTCTGATTTTCAAAAATCATCTGTGTTTCTGTTTCACTCATGGAATATTATTCAATTTATTTTCAATTTCTTTAATTTATAACTTTATTTTTTATGGTTGCTTTATTTATTTATTTATTTATTTATTTTTGAGATGGAGTCTCGCTCTGTTGCTCAGGCTGGAGTGCAGTGGCCGGATCTCAGCTCACTGCAAGCTCCGCCTCCCGGGTCTACACCATTCTCCTGCCTCAGCCTCCCTAGTAGCTGGGACTACAGGCGCCCGCCACCTCGCCCAGCTAGTTATTTGTATTTTTTAGTAGAGACAGGGTTTCACCGTGTTAGCCAGGATGGTCTCGATCTCCTGACCTCGTGATCCGCCCGTCTCGGCCTCCCAAAGTGCTGGGATTACAGGCTTTTTATGGTTGCTTTCTAAAAATTTTTTAATTTTTTGACGGGGCCATGTTGCCCTAATATTTTGTATACCTTGTAATCTTTGATTGAGATTTGGACATTAAAAAAAAGCTGCCTGTTACAATCTTTATTATGTAGCCTTGTCCTGGCATAATCTTAAACCGGTTGTCTTGGCTAGAGATTCCCTGAGTCTCTCAAACATGTTCTTAGGATGTATCTTGTCTGAAATTTTGTGTTTACTTTTTAGTTAAAGGAATTGATTTGTGTTTTTTGGTAAGTCAGTAATCAGTTGCTACACGTGTTTGTTGTCTGTGGTGCTGCTGCATTCTCTCTGCTGCTGTAATGTTTACCTTTGATCTCAGCAGACAAACTGTCATTCCAAAGTATACCATCATTTCTTTCAGCGCTTTATGGCATGGGAGACAGAAACCAGTGTCTAAAAAGACCCCTAGAGGCCAGAAATAAAGATGTATGTGCCAGTATTTGTCTTGTCTTCTAAAAAAGAAACCAGGAATTGGCAATTTACTGCTAAAGGCACTAGGTTATTGAGGAGCAGGAAGAGCTGTGTTGTGTAAACATAACACAGTTTTCTTTTCCTTCTATGTAGCCCTTTGCATTGTTCTCACCTGGGGCACTGTACACATTTAACTCATAACTTTTCCACAAATGTATTTTGGTCAGTATGTTTTTGTTACATTTATATTTCTATAAGGAATTAGGGCCTGTAGTATTTTGCTGTGCCATCTTGCTTATGTTGTAGTTTGTATAATTTTATAGGTTAAATTTGTAAAGTGTATTCATCTGAGTCTAGTAAGTGAAGTAACTTGTTATTTTAATTTTTTTCAGTTATGTGTTCTCATTTTACCCAAGATGTTTGGCCAGAGCAGAGCATAAAAGATTCTTTCCAAAAAGTGATACTGAGAACATGTGGAAAGTATGGACATGAGAATTTACAGCTAAGAAAAGACCATAAAAGCGTGGATGCGTGTAAGGTGTACAGAGGAGGTTATAATGGACTTAACCAATGTTTGACAACTACTGAGAGCAAAATATTTCAGTGTGATAAATATGTGAAAGTCTTTCATAAATTTTCAAATGTAAATAGAAGTAAGATAAGACATACTGGAAAGAAACCTTTCAAATGTAAAAACCGTGGCAAATCATTTTGCATGCTTTCACAATTAACTCAACATAAGAAAATTCATACTAGAGAGTATTCTTACAAATGTGAAGAATGTGGTAAGGCCTTTAACTGGTCCTCAACACTTACTAAACATAAGATAATTCATACTGGAGAAAAACCCTACAAATGAGATAAGACATACTGGAAAGAAACCTTTCAAATGTAAAAACCGTGGCAAATCATTTTGCATGCTTTCACAATTAACTCAACATAAGAAAATTCATACTAGAGAGTATTCTTACAAATGTGAATAATGGGTAAGGCTCAACTGGTCCTCAATACCACAAACATAAGATAATTCATACGGAGAAAACCCTACAAATGTGAAGAATGTGGCAAAGCTTTTAATCGGGTCCTCAAATCTTACTAAACATAAGATAATTCATACTGAGAAAACCCTACAAATGTGAAGAATAAAAAAGCTTTTAACCGGTCCTCAACCTCAGCTAAACATGGGTAATTATATACAGAGAAACCCAAATGTAGCAATGTGTAAAAGGCCTTTAACCAGTTCTATCTTTAATAAACATAAGAGAATTCATATGGAAGATAAACCCTACAAATGTGAAGAATGTGGCAAAGCCTTTAGAGTATTCTCAATTCTTAAAAAACATAAGATAATTCATACTGGAGAAAAACCGTTCAAATGTGAAGAATGTGGCAAAGCCTTTAACCAGTTCTCAAACCTTACTAAACATAAGATAATTCATACTGGAGAGAAACCCTACAAATGTGATGAATGTGGCAAAGCCTTTAACCAGTCCTCAACCCTTACTAAACATAAAAGAATTCATACTGGAGAAAAACCCTACAAATGTGAAGAATGTGGCAAAGCTTTTAAACAGTCCTCAACCCTTACTGAACATAAGATAATTCATACTGGAGAGAAACCCTACAAATGTGAAGAATGTGGCAAGGCCTTTAGCTGGTCCTCAGCTTTTACTAAACATAAGAGAAATCATATGGAAGATAAACCATACAAATGTGAAGAATGTGGCAAAGCCTTTAGTGTATTCTCAACCCTTACTAAACATAAAATAATTCATACTAGAGAAAAACCCTACAAATGTGAAGAATGTGGCAAAGCCTTTAACCAGTCCTCAATTTTTACTAAACATAAGATAAATCATACTGAAGGGAAATCCTACAAATGTGAAAAATGTGGCAATGCTTTTAACCAGTCCTCAAACCTTACTGCACATAAAATAGTTTATACTGGAGAGAAACCCTACAAATATGAAGAACGTGACAAAGCCTTTAACAACTTCTCAACCCTTATTACACATCAGATAATTTATACTGGAGAGAAACCCTACAAACATGAATGTGGCAGAGCCTTTAACAAATCCTCAAATTATACTAAAGAGAAACTACAAACCTGAAAGATGTGAGAGTGATTTTGACTACATCTCAAACTTTTCTAAACATAAACCATACTGGTGCCCTAGAAATGTGAGGAATGCGACAAAGCCTTTAAATGGTTGTCACACTTGATTGTAGGTAAGATAATTTATAATGGAGAAAAATCCTACAAGTATGAAGAATGTGGCAAACTTTTAACCAATCCTCATACCTAATTGCACAGGAAAGCATTTATACTTGAGAAAAATTCTATAAAGAATATGGAAAAGCCATTTATATCTGCTCACATCTGAACATCAGAGAGTTCATACTTAATAAAATGCAGTTACTGTCAAAAGATCTTTCAGAAAATATAAGCCTTTAACATGAGGAAGAGTATTCTTAAGACAAACATTGCAAATAGAGGGTTGTAGTACCTTTACTTTTGTGATAGATCTTACTGTACACATTTTGTACCAGAGGAAAACCCTAAAGCATTAGTTGCTCAAACTGTTCAACATCAGGGAGTTTATATTGGAGAAAAACCCTGCAAATGTAATAAATACGGAAAAACATTTTTTTCAAAAACTACAGCTTGGAAAACAGTTCATTCTAAAATATATTTTTGCAGATGCAGTAAATATGAAAAATATTTAATCCAAAATTAAGTCTATGTAAATATCAGAGAATTCACAGTGGAAATCATAAGGCATGAGGCACTGACACTTCAGACGTTACACTAAATTAGAGTGTTGAGTATAGGAAATTCAAAACTAGAATTGTTAGATAAGTTATTTATATATAACTTTAAAAGACGTGGAAGATTTTTTGGAGATTTATAATTACATTCAAAGTATACTTTTTTCTTGAAAAAAATTACAGATTTTTTGAAAAGCAATTAATGTAATTTAACTCTCAAATTCATGTTTTTCTTTATTCCTATTGTATTCACATGTGAAATCAAGTGATCAGTTGTTGCTGAATCAGAGCTATGAGAGATTCTTTTTTAAAGGTGGGCATTATTTATGCCCCTTTCTATGGAAGAGTAAGAAAATTAAAATATAAGATGCATGAGGAAAATGTAGAGATGCTCTTTGTGGTTAACTTAGAATATTAAGTGCTGCTTGAGGTACATGTTTAGACTAATATTCTTTTGCAGTATAGTGAGAAAACATTTTCAGTTAAAATTAGTGTATCATTTTGTTGATTGTGCTTTTATGTAATAAAATGCAGTACTATTTGGAACCGGTCTGGGCCGGTTTGAGTCCGGTTTGAGCCGGTCAAAACCGGTCTGGTTCGGTTTGAGCCGGTCTGGTCCGGTTGGAGCCTGTCAAAACCTGTTGGAACAGGTCTGGGCCTGTTTGAGTCCGGTTTGAGCCGGTCTGGCCTAGTTTGATACGGTCAAAACCCGTATGAGTCCCGTTTGAGCCGGTGAAAACCGGTTTGAGATGTTCTGGTCCGGTTTGAGCCGGTTTGAGCCGGTCTGGTCTTTTGTTAGCCGGATTGAGCTGGTCTGTTCTGTTCTTGTTCCTGTTCCTGTTTGAGCCAGTCTAAAAAAAATTGTGTGTGAACTTAATTTTGTAATTAAACATTTTTTTTTAACATGCTAAGACTTGTGTATTTGATGAAGTGTTATTTTGCCACTGACTTTAACCTATCCCACCTTACTCAAGGGTGTGGGGTAAAAGATGGTAACAGTATATTATTTGGTAACATAGTGGACTTACATCTCTAGTAATCTTTTCCAGTGGCTTAAACTGCAAATACATTAAAGAATAGTGTTCCCATAGGTTACAATTTTTATCTTTTTAAAATTTAAATTTATTTTTCTTAATATTTGTGGGTACATAGTGTATGTATTTATGCCATATTTTGATGCAGACATACAATATGTAATAATGACAGAGTAAATGAGGTATTCACCTCTAGCATTTTATTCTTTGTATTACAGACAATCCAGTTCTATCCACACTTTTATTTATTTTAAAATGTACAATTGTTATTGACTACAGGGTCATTTTTATGGTTATAATAATAATTATACAGAAGTAAAAATAAAATCCATATTTCTGAGACCTAAATTTTATTTTTAAAAATTTGCTTTGTATTTTACTTTGAACATGTGGCCTCTGTGCCTGCAAACGCACACAGATGTTTAGTTTTGATTTACATAAAGATATATTACTGAAAAAATAAACCTTAGGTATAAGAAAATTATGAAGTATGTTTTTGTAAGTATGAATTTCTATTTTCAGAAGAAACTGAGAAAACATTATTTTAATAAGGTGACTACTAGAAAACTAAAAACCTCAAATATGTGTAAGGCAAATCTATATGCTGCTTTGTATTGAATTCATGACTATAAGATCTTACGGCTTATGGTTCATAACCTCCCCAGGCAATTTCTCTGTTTTACTTGCCTGGTACTCATGCTAGACCCATAATTTTTCTGTTTCTTATAATGTGTTTTATAGTTTTTGAAGTATTCATTATGTGAGCTCATCAGGGATTATAAATTATTTTTATAAAATTGCACACAAAAATAATTTTTAGATGTAATTCCACTATTAGTGTATTTTATTTAGTTAGAACATTCCATTTTGTTATTTTACTTGGAGAACCCTATATAAGTCTCCCTTTTTTTTTTTTTTTTTTTTTTTTTTTGAGATGGAATTTTGCTCTTGTTGCCCAGGATGGAGCGCAGTGGCACGATCTTGGCTTACCGCAGCCTCCGCCTCCTGGGTTCCAATGATTCTCCTGCCTCGACCTCCAGAGTAGCTGGGATTACAGGCACGTGCCACCATGCCTGGCTAATTTTGTTTTAGTAGAGACGGTTTCTCCATGTTGGTCAGGTTGGCCTCGAACTCCCGACCTCAGGTGATTGATTCACCTGCCTTGGTCTCCCAAAGTGCTGGGATTATAGGAGTGAGCCACTGCACCCAGCGGTAAGCCTACTTTTAGTTATTGCTGCTTCCAGATTTTGTTCTGTTTGAGACGTAGGCTTGGTCTTGTTGCCCAGGCTGGAGTGCAATGGCACGATTTTGGCTCACGCAACTTCCACCTGCTGGGTTCAAGCAGTTCTACCTCAGCCTCCTGAGTAACTGGGATTACAGGTGCCCACCACCACACCCTGCTAATTTTTGTATTTTTAGTAGAGACAGGGTTTTGCCTTGTTGGTCAGGGTCGTCTTGAACTGACCTCGTGATCCGCCTGCCTTGGCCTCCCGAAATGCTGGGATTGCAAACATGAGCCACCGCACCCAACTGCTTTCAGATTTTTTAATTGACAAGTAAATTTATGTATTGAGGCAATTTGTTAGGGTATGTCCTAGGGAGGCTTCATAAGTCAGGATTTTTTTTTTTTGAGGCAGTCTCGTACTGTTTCCTAGGCGGGAGTGCAGTGGTGCGATCTTGGTTCACTGCAACCTCTGCATCCCAGGTTCAAGCGATTCTCCTGCCTCAGCCTCCCAAGTAGCTGGGATTACAGGCACCCACCACCAAGCCCAGCTAATTTTTTGTATTTTTAGTAGAGAGGAGGTTTCACTATGTTGGCCAGGCTGGTCTCAAACGACCTCGTGATCTGCCCCCCTTGGCCTCCCAAAGTGCTGGGATTACAGGCGTGAGCCACTGCGCCTGACCAGGATGTTTTTACATACAAATGCAGCAAACAAACATGACAGTGCTTGCTGTATAACAGATGCTTAATGATAACCCATAAGTACACTCTGTCTTGGCTTACTGCAACCTTTGCCTTCCAGGTTCAAGCAATTCTTCTCTCTCAGCTGCTGGAGTAGTTGGGTCTACAGGCACACATCATTACACCGGGCTAATTTTTTGTGTTTTTAGTACAGATGGGGTTTCACCATGTTGGCTAGGGCCTGGTCTTGAACTCCCGATCTTAAGTGATCTGCCCACCTCAGCCTCTAAAAGCACTGGGATTACATGCATGAGCCACTGTGCTCAGCCTTCAATGCCATTTTTTATAGATTTAGAAGAAGTAACTATTTTAAAATTCATATGGAAGGATAAAAGAGCCCAAATAGCCACAGCAAGTTTAAACAAAAACAATAAACCTGGAGGTCTCATATTACCCGACTTCAAATTGTACTACAAGCTACAGTAACCAGTACAGCATAGTTCTGGTACAAAAATATATATATATAGGCTAATGAAACAGAGGAGAGAGCCCAGAAAAAAAGCTACACTTCTACAATCAACTTATTTGTGACAAAGTCAACGAAATAAACCAAGGGAAATAACCCCCTATCCAATAAGTGGTACAGGGGAAAACTGGACCCCTACCTCTCACCATATAAAAAATATAACTCAAGATAGATCAAAGACTTGACCGTGAGACTAAACTATAAAAATCCTAGAACACTTAGTACTTCACTAGACTTTGGCCTCTAGAAAGAATTTATGACTAACACCTTAAACATGAGTGCAAAAAAAAAAAAAAAAAAAAAAGGAAGTTGACACCTAATTAAAGAGCTTCTGCACAGCAAAAGAAACTATCGACAAATAGACAATCTACAGTATGAAATAAGAGATTTGCAAACTCAATACAAGGGATTAATATATATGATCTATAAGAAATTTAATTTTTAAAAGCAGACAAATGATATATAAATAGGCACTTCTCAAAGGAAGACATAAAAGCTGCCAAAAAAAACCAAATTGACCAGAGTGGGGGTTCATGCCTATAATCTCAGCACTTTGGGAGGCTGAGGCAGAAGGATCACATGAGGCCAGGAGTTTAAGACCAGCCTGGCCAACATAGTGAAACCCCATCTGTACTTAAAATATGAAACTTACCAGGTGTGTTTGTGCATGCCTGTAGTCCCAGCTACTCAGGAGGCTGAGGCAGAAGGATCACATGAGGCAAGGAGTTCAAGACCAGCCTGGCCAACATAGTGAAGCCCCGTCTGTACTTAAAATACAAAACTTAGCCAGGTGTGTTGGTTCATGCCTGTGGTCCCAGCTACTCAGGACGCTGAGGCACAAGAATCACTTGAACCCAGGAAACAGAGGCTGCAGTGAGCTGAGATTCTACCATTTCACTCAAACCTGGGTGACAGAGTGAGACTCTGTCTCAAAAAAAAAAAAAAAAAAAAAAAAAAAAAAAAAAAAAAAAAAAAAAAAGGTTGCTCAACTTTCCTAATAATCAGACAGGTGTAAATCAAAATGACAACGTGATACCATCCCACACCAGTTAGAATGGCTATTATTAAAATTAAAAAAAAAAATGTTGAAGTCGTGAAAGAAAGGGAATTTTTATACACTTTTAGAAATGCAAATTAGTTCGCCTTAGTGGAAAGCAGTTTGGAGATTTCTCAAAGAACTAAAAATACAACTGCCATTTGACCTATCAACCCCATTTCTGGGTATTTACCCAAAGGAAAATAAATTATTTTATCAAAAAAGACACCTGCACTCACATGTTTATTGTAGCACTATTTATAAATAGCAAAGACATAGAATTAAACTAGGAACCCATGAATCTTAGACTGGATAAGAAAAATGAGATACTTATACACCATGCAATACTATACAGTCACAGAAAAAAAAATGAAGTAATGTCCTTTCAGCAACATGGATGCAGCAGATCATTATTCTAAGCAAGTTAACACAGAACAGAAAAATACCACATGTTCTCACTTATAAGTGGGAGCTAAACATGAGGTGCACATGGAAACAAAGATGGAAAAATAAACACTGGGAATTCTAAGAAGAAGGAAGGAAGACAAACATTGAAAAACCACTTATCAGGTATGATGTACACTACTTGAGCAATGAAATTATTCAGTGTCCACCAAACATCAACGTCATGCAATATACCTGTGTTACAAATCTGCATATGTACCCCTTGAATCTAAAGTAAAAATAATGAAATGTTCTGTGGTGTATAATGACATATTGCATTTCTCCAGTTTTGGGTCAATAGTCAAAATTAGGGGTGAAAGACACAGAATTATGCCTCTTTTATGCATATGGGTGAATGTTTCAGATGAAAAGTTTCATTTAAATGAAACTTTTAGATATGTGCATGTTCAAATTTATAATTCAGAAACTATATTTTTTAAATAAACTATACAAAAACTAAAAATATAAAGTATCAATTTAGTTTTCTCAGCTTTGAAATACTGTCATTATTTCTAGATGACAGAACACTAGATTTCAGGTTCTGTGGCTGTAGAAACTGGACATATTTTGATTGACTCTGCTTTACTTCCTGCCT